CATCTCAAAGGATGGTCCACAGACCCCTGACAACCTCCAAGGCCTGTCCTTCCACAAAGGTCACTGAGATTAAAAAATATATATTCTCATACTAATACTACCATATTATTTGCTTCTTTCTATGTTAAAATTTGAACTGGTGGTTCAAAAGTATTTGTGAGCCTATGATAAGATACAATTTCACATCCATTAGAATGGTTATAATTTTCTTTAAAATAGAAAATAAGTATTGGTGAGAATGTGGGGAAATTGTAACCCTCATACATAGCGGGTGGGAATATAAAATGGTGCAGCTGCCATGGAAAAAAGTTAAACATAGAATTACCATACAACCCAGCAATTCTACTGCTAGGTATATTCCCAAAGAATTGAAAACAGTTGTTCAAACAAAAATTTATACACAAATGTTCACAGCAGCACTGTTCACAACAGCCAAAAGGTGGAAACAACCCAAAAGTCCACCAACTTTTGAATGGATAAAAAAATGTGCTATATTTATACAATGGAATATTATTCAGCTATAAAAAGGAATACTGTGCTTATATTTGCTAAGTGAAAGAAGCCAGACATAAAAGGTCACATATTGTGTGATTCTATTTTTACAAAACATCCGGAATAGGCAAATCCATAAAGACAGCAGATTAGTGGTTGGCGGGGGCTTGAGGGGGGCTGGAAGGGGAATGACTGTCTCATGGGCACAGAGCTTTCTTCTGGAGTGATGAAAATGTTCTGGAACTAGATAGTAGTGGTGATTGTATAACATTATAAATGTACTAAATGCCACTTTAAAATGGTTAAAATGGTGACTTTTACGGTCTTAAAATTTTTACCACAACTTAAAATTTAAAAATTGGGATGGGAGTCGTAATGAGCAAAACTGGTGATGTCTTCGCTCAAATCAAGGCAGTGGTGCCAAACTGTACTAATAGTCACTGCAGTCTTCACCGTTACACACTTTCAGTAAATAAATAAGTTAATTAATTAATTAATTAAAGCCAGTTTTACTTAACGAAACAGTAGATGTTGTTAACATTATGAACTCTCAACCCTTCAGTGTACATCTTTTTAACAGTGTGTGTAATAAAATGGGAGGCACTAGTAAAGCGCTTCTGCTGCCTGGTGATGTACAGCAGGTTTTCAAGGAAATACACCTCTAAGATTTTTGAGTTGTGAGATGAATTAGCTATTTTTTATGGTACACAGTTTTTAGTTTAAAAAGCAACTGAAGGATAAGTTATGGTTATTCAGACTTAGTTATTTGGCAGATATTTTTTCAAGCTTACAGGAAGACTATGATTTTATATACATGTATAATGTAATACATTTTATATATGTGTTTAATATATATGTTTTTAATCTGTCTTTCTATGGCTCTCATAGTGGTTGTTCTAGGTATTACATTATATATGTAATTATAAACTTATAAACTGTTTCATTATATATGTAATTTTATATATATATGTACATATATATACATATATATATAATGTAACACAATTCAATGGAGTAAGGATCACCTTTTCAATAAATAGTTGACACCAAAAGCAAAATCTATTTTTTCCATTGCTGAATTGGACTTTATTAAAATTAAAAACATTTGCTCTGCAAAATACCCTTTTAAGAGAATTAAAAGACAGCCCGGCCAGGCGTGGCTCAGGGGCTGAGCATCGACCTAGGATCCAGGAGATCACGGTTTGATTCCTGGTCGGGCACATGCCCAGGTTGCAGGCTCCATCCCCAGCTGATTGACGACCCTCTCATCATTGATATTTCAACTCCCTCTCTCCCTCTCCCTTCCTCTCTCTGAAATCAATAAAGATATTAAAAAAGAGGGAGAGAGAATTCAAAGACAAACTACAGAATGGAAAAATATATTTCCAAACCACATATTCATTAAAAAGATAGATCTAGAATATATAAAGAACTTACAAAACACAATGGTATAAGAGCAAAAAGTCCTTTTAGACTCTAAAATTTAGGGTATGAGCACAGACATAAAGAGATAATCCACTGGAGAGGACATGCAGGTGGCAAATAAGCACATGAAAAGATTTCACCATCATTAGTCATTAGGGAACTGCAAATTAAAATCACAATGACATATCATTATATACTTATCAGAAAGGCTAGAATAAAAAACAGTGAAAAGAAGTCTGAAAAGGCTACATGCTGTATGAGTCCAACAAAAAAACATTCTGGAAAGGGCAAAACCATGAAAACAGTAAAAAGATTGGTAGTTGCCAGGGGTTTGAGGGGAGAGAAAGGTGAATAGGTGGAGCACAGGACTTTTAGGGCAGTGAAACTATTCTGCAGGACCCTATTTTGGTGGATACATGTCCTTATACATTTGTCAAAACCCCTAGAATGTACAACACCAAGAGTGGATTCTGATGTAAACAAATTATGGAGTTTGGGTGATAATAATAATGTGTCAATATAGGTGCATCAATTGTCACAAACTTACCACTCTGGTGGGGATGTTGATAGGGGGAGAGGTATGTTTACATGGGAAATCTCTCTAAGTTCTGCTCAATTTTAATGTGAATCTAAAACTCTACTCTAAAAAATAGTCTATTAAAAAAATAGCGACAACACCAAAAGTTGGTGAGAATGCAGAGAAACTGGATCACTTCTGCTGGTGGGAATATAAAATGGTACAGCCACTCATTTGTCGGTTCCTTTAAAAAAAACTAAACCTGTGCCTACCATGACTCAACAATGCTATCCTGAGCATGTATCCCACAGAAATGAAGACTTATGTCCATACAAAAGCCTGTGCATGAATGTTTATAGCAGTTTTATTTAGAATAGCCCAAAACTGGAAACAACCCAAATGTCCTGCAATAAACAAATGATTAAGCAAACTGTGGTGTAGCCATACCGTGGAATACTACTTAACCATAAAAAAACAGCCCATTGTACTTGAAACAACCTGGATGAATCCACAGAGAATTAAACTGAATTTAAAATTAAAAAAAAAAAAAAAGCAATCCCCAAATATTCTATATTTTAAATGACAAAATTATAGAAATAGGGGACAGATTAGTGGTTGCCAGAAGATAAACAGGAGGTAGGAACAGGAGGGAAATGGACTTGGCTATATGAAGGCAATTTGATGGATTTTTGTAGTAATGAAAATGTTCTGTATCAATGCAGTATTCTGGTTGTGACACTGTACACTAGTTTTTCAAGATGTTACAGTTGAGGGAAACCAAGTAAATGGTACACTGGATCTCTCTGTATTATTTCTTACAACTACAAGTGAATCTTATAGTGTTCTCTAAATAAAATTTGAATTTAAAAAAGTGAATGAAGTGAGCCTATCAATACAAGGAAAACAGTACTTGTTGCTTATGATAAGATTTAGGCTTCCAAGCAAAAATTAGAATTTTTAAAAATTTGTTTGTGCCCGGCCAGTGTTGTTCAGTGGTTGAGCATCTACCTATGATTCCCAGTCAGGGCACATGCCTGTTTTGCCAGCTCGGTCCCCAGTAGGGGGTGTGCAGGAGGCAGCCGATCCGTGGCTCTCCCTCATCATTGATGTTTCTCTCTCTCTCCCTCTCCCTTTCTCTCTCTCTGAAATCAATAAAAATATATATTTTTTTAAAAATTTTTTAAATTTGTTTGTACCACCATGAGTGTCAACTTCCCAAGACTTAAAGATTTTTTAATGAAATTAGTAGTGATATTAACTAATGTTATGTTGATATATTAAGAAATGTGCCAAAAGTTGTAAGAGCTATATAACTCAGGAAATCAATATTTTCTAAATAATCAATACACAATATTACAAAACCATGTATAGCTGAAAGATCCATTCAAAGTATATGACAGACCAGTGGATTTACTGGACAGAGTAGAAAGGTTCACTGATATGGTTTCAGATTCCAAATGCAACTAACCTTTAAGAAATTACCATCTGTCAACTTTAAACAAAGTATTCAAAAAGAATGTTGACAATCACCTGAAAAGCTATTTAAATCTGACTCCCTTTTTCAACTATGTGTCTGCATGGGGTTAGGTTTTCTTCATATCCTTCACCTCAAATAACTTATCACAACAGACTGAGTTGAATACATACACATATATGAGAATTCAGCTATTCTATTAAGCCAGACATTCAAAATTTGAAAGAAAAATGTCTCTCTCTTTTTGCTTAATATTCTTCATTTTGGAAAATATAATTATTTTTCATTAAAAATAGGATGTATGCTACCATAAATGAGCTTATCATTTTTTTAATGAGTAATAAAGACACAGTTTTAACTTTTCCTGGTTTAAATTCTTACTAAAGTATTGATAAATATCATGCTCATAAGCATATCTGGGGCCCTGAGTAAATTTTTGAGAGAGTAAAGGCTCTGGAGACCCAAAATTTTGAAAACCACTGTCCTAGGAGTTTAAAGTTTTCTTGTTGATTATAGTTGTAAGTTCAAGCAAATTCTAAACCAAGCTTATGTACCAAAGGATAGACATAAGAAAATAAGAAAGTGGCCAATTTTGGAGAGAAGGGCGCATGTCCCCAGAGAGAAAGGGAGGAGCTGCCCTACTGCCCCCCCCCCACGTGGGGACAGGACAGCATAGAAAAGCTGAGGCTGCACATGGAGGATCATGGCCTTTCGGTGTTTCCAGTGGGTTTCAAGGAATCACTTGTGAGGCCACTACCTTTGGCCCCCAAGTGAAGGGCCAGCAATCTGGAAAGTTACCTCTAGCGGTTGTGCTTTTTTTGTAGAGAATATTAGTCTTCTGGGGAGCCTGAATTGCTTCCCCACCTTTATTTTTTATTTTTATTTTCTTTGTTTCCCCTCCTTTAAAAAAAAAACCACAAACGACATTTCACTAATTTGCCATTTACCAAAATAATGATTTACTATAGTATATCGAGCTGTTTCCATAGCTGATCCATTCACAAAATGAGGCAGCTGCAATATATTTTAGGTGAAATCCATGACAAAGAATCCCCTTTAACTGCATTTGCCAGCTGTACTGTGAGTTCATCGTTAAAATGCATGCTCCTAAAAGGGGAAAGAACAATTGAGGGTTTAATTTCTAAATTTAGAAACTGCTATTTAAATTAATCACAATAAAATGGTCTAATTTTTAAACAAAATTCCTTCGGCAGTCTCCTGGCATCCCGCCCAGCAGGCAGGCAACCCCTCCCGGCCAGGAAGATGCACTGGCCTGATGGCTCCTGTTGTTCAGGCGCTAATCATTAGGGTGAGTACACATTGCAGCCTCAGAAGGAAGGTAACTCTGATTTAAAGATCTAAACCAGGTCTAGAGGTTCTGTTTTCTGTGAATTAACTGTAGAAATGTCTGTACTAACGAGCATGTAAGTTGATTCCTTGCTCTTGGGAATGTGGTTAAATGACCCAGAAACAAAACAGTTCTGTTATAATATTATTGGTGTGTGTGTGTGTGTGTGTGTGGTGTGTGTGTGTGTGTGTGTGTGTGTTTCCACTTAATGGCCCCACCATGTCCCTGATACCCTGATAGCTCCCCCCATTTATTGCTTTAATTTCTTTCTTTCTCTCTCTTTGTTTTATCATTTTCTTTAATTCCTTCCAATTTTTACTTAAGGAGGCTCTTATAATAGTGCTTATATTTGCCAGTTTTCCGAGGACTATCCTCGCAACCCCTTTCACGGGGCTAACTGATCCTGTCCTCCCTAACACTCCAACCCCCAAGTTCAACACCCCTCCAGGGACCAAGCATACTGGGTCCTGCACTCGCAGATCTGTTCCTTTTATTTTGAGTCATAAAATAAGCTGGAAATAGCTGTTTAAAAAAACGAAGCAACCTGTATACATTTTAAGTACTTTTCTAAATAGCTTGTGAAGTAATTGATCCATTGCCTTACAGTTAACTTTAAACATCTTCCTGATGTTGAGGAAATGTAACAACAGTGTATGAGAATAAAACTGTTCTGTTCATTAACACTGTTCATCTTTTGACTAACTTTGCAATCAAATTTAGTATCTTGATATGGGGTGGTTCACTGAAAAATATCATAACCTTAAAATATAGTAAGTCTTGAATAATCATTTTTCTTAAGAAAATATATTCTCAATTTAGCTAATTGCAACCTTTTTATTGTAGAGGTATTCTAATGGGGGCATGTTTCTCTTGAGCTTTACTAGTAATCTTCAGAGACTCTATTTTGAATGACATAGAACTGGAAAATTTTTAAAGCTTCACTTTTAAGTGATGTTCAGATTTTTATGCCCTTTTCTTTGTGCTGTTGTGTGAGTGAGAATATGAATCCGCATATGAAACTGTGCTCTCTATTATTGGGGTGCATAGTGGATGCTGGGGCCCATTGCTTAGTCCTGCCCTTTAGCATGAAGGCTCTCATGCCCTCCCCTTGAAATACACTTGCCCAGTTTTTCACTCTTCTTGGTGGACAGCCCCAGTCCAATGGCTGCTGAGGTGGTGAGTGTCCCCCTTTCCTCCACTCGGGACACCTCTAAGGGGCCACCCCAGCTCCGGAGCTTGAGGGCGGGCTGAGGCCTCAACTGTTGCTGCATCGCAGTCCAACCTTACCCTTGCTCAGTCCAGGTCCCCTCGCCCTGGCACAGGTGTCCCCAAGAGCGCTGCCCAATAACCCTCCCGCGTGCCGCTATCCATCTGAGCCTGCTTCCCAGGGGCCCAGCCGAGGCGGGGGGCGTTTCAAGACTCTATTGCCATTTAGAGGCCTTCTGAGGAGAGTCTTTAAACCTCTACTTGGAAACCTTGCCTTACAGTTAATTACTGCACATGAAGCCAGAATTAGTTGGAACCTTCTTTCATAGGAAAGCCCCAAATATGCCTGCACCCCCTTTCTACAAGCCTGAGCTCAACCATCACTCAAAGACTTTAAAATAAAAACATACAAGTCACCTCTCCCCTTTACCAGGATGGTTGGAAGCCTAGGCAAAGGCGGTTTCGCCTTTCAGGAGGGATACCATTCTAGGAAGATGATAAACTCTCCCCCAAAAGCCTCCTCGGGTCCCAATTTAAGAATCATTGATTTATGGTGAAGGTCATAAAAAAAAAAAAATCATCCTCTCAAAGCTGTTGTCCCCAGCAGAGGGAAGGAAGAGAATAATTTTTTAAGTATATTTAAAAAGCCTTAATTCTTCCCCATACGATTTCTTCAATAGGTTTTGAATAACCAGATGTCAGGCTCAGCTTACATTTTCCACGACGGTGCCTGCTGCCTTTGAACTTGCCCTTTCGCGGTACTTCTTCCGAGTGCAATAGACACTGACCAGGGTGACGATCAGCATCGCGGCCAACACAGCCGCAGCGGAGGAAACGGCGGTGACGATGGTGTCGCGGGTGGAGCCTCTCTTTTCACACCTCTCTCCCACGTACCACCAGTCCTCCCCCGACGGGCACCTGCACGTGCAGAACAGGCTCTGTTACGAGGTATCTGAACGCCTTGGCCGCTAAAGGGTGGGTCGGCCTTCGGGGCACTGACACCTGGGACATTTCACCCGCTCTGGACTGGAGGGCGGTGGCTAGGCTGGCACGGGGGCCAGGCGGGGCCTGGAAAGGATGGAAAGGGCTGAGGGAATGACGTCCAACCTGGCACTCAGAGCTGCAGCTCCGAGGGGCAAGGAAGGGAGCGTCGGTAACGGGGAAATGCTACTTCTCGTGTCCCGGTCCCTCCACCTCCCAGCCATACACCTTGGCCCAGCTCTTCTCAAAATTTAGGTATCTCCATCTACAAAATGGGGGCAGCTACACTTACCCACATCAGACTATTATGAGGACTTCAGATGTGTCACTCATGAGGACTTTTTCAGGCAATTAGAATATAATGTGCTCTTTCTCATAAATAATTGTATTGTTCTTGTGGCTGCCCAAAGTCCCAAATGAAGAGCAGAAAATAAATATGCTGTGAATGGTTCTGAGATGTAAATTAATGGATTTCAACTCCTATGAAATATCAGTATTTAAGCCTACATTGTGGGAATGATAAAATACCAAACAAAAGAGTGGGAGAGCTCGTGCAGTGAGCCCTTACCTGCACTCAGCTTTGCCATCTCGGACAGTGCAGATGCCATCATTCTCACACGTGAAGCTTGAGCAAAGGTCAGTGATGCCAGGGGTTGGGACTGGCTGAGTTGACGTAGAATTAAGGTGGGATATGTCTAAGGGCAACAGGCGGAGAGCATGGATGGAAATCAGGTTTTGCTTTAACAAGCATTTCACTTTTAAATTCAAATTAGATACTCAGTTTTCAGGTTTGCAAGAAATTCAGGTAATCTTGAAGCATAGTCCAACAATATTCATAGACAGCGATATCATAAATAGGCAGGTTGAAATCTAGATGCAAAGGAAAGCTGGGCCAGACTGTGGGGCTACAACTGAACCCCATGTTTGCATGGGCCTGGGCTTGCCTGAACTCTAAGGGGCCCAAGACTTTGTTACTTTTTAACCTAAAAATAAAAGGCCTTTCAAAGTGAGAGGCAACAAGCATTTATTTGAGATTAAAAGGAATAGCTACTGGGGAAGCATTGATTCAGGCAAAAGCCCAACTAATGTTCTGACTAGGAGACAAAAACAAGGGGTATTTATGAGAAAGGGTAGGAGGGAAATTATATCAATAGGAGAAAGGCATTTCTCTTGTGCAGATAACATAGTGATGTTTATTCTAAAGAATGTTTTTAATTTCCAGTTCAGTAATCATAATATCTGCTTTCTTGTTATCTTTGCAAATAGTTCTTTGGACCCAAGGTTGCATTAGGCCCAATCCAAAGGTTATTTTGCCCTGCTTTAGCATTCCAAAGGTTTGAGGCATAAGATGTGCAAGGAGGTTTCTCAGGCATGGCAGCTCCAACTCCATTTTTAAATGGTTCCATTTGCTTTTTTTTTTTTTTACATTACCAACCCTCAAGGGACAGACAAAGAAATCAAAGAGCTGATCACAGGGCAGATGAGGGGCCTGCCCAAAGTCACAAGTCTCTTGCTTTGTGGAGCAGTTGATAGGTATTTGGTGAAAGATACCTGGTCCTCTGACAACCAGGGTTCTGTTCTTTGTGGTGTTTTCTGTTCCTTCTTATCGAAACAGGGTCAAACAGAATTGATGAATATGTGACTTTTGTCCAGAGAAAAAACATTTTATGTAGCCTCTTCTCCATCAACAAAAGTTTTCCTGAATAAATTTTACCAAGAAGCATCATTTAGATTTACTCTAATTGACACCGAAATAAAAATTTCATGGGTTTTAATTGCACCACTTTTCATTGCAAACAAGATTCTAATTTACTGAGATGCAGTTGGGTCTTTAATAGTAAATGAGTTAAAATCCTACCACATAAAACATGGAAAACACCAGTATTCTTGGAAAATGTATTTTTTTGGCTACCATAGGCTAAGAAATTTTAAAAGATGATAGATTGTTATCATTGCAAAAATGTGTGTGTGTATCTATATATTTGAAAAAGACAGTAAAGATAATCCATTTTAAGTTTAACTTCATGTGCTTGTGTGATATTTTTATTTCTGGAATCCTAGACTATAATTCTAGGGTCTAATGGCTATCCTTTAACTTATTTCTAAAGTTTTCTGGCCTGAAGTTTTTTACTATTCCTCCATGTAGTGGTAATTAAGTTCTTTATCCTGGAACCCTCACTGTTTCCATTTAAATTATTTTCATATTTTTAAGATTCATGCCAAAAAAAGATTCCACTCAGGCCCATTTCCTCCTCCATCTCTACTTAATACACCTAAAAATGGCACCCGGAAGAGCACAGTAAATAATCAATGGCTGCAACAACAAGAACAAATATAGCCTAGGTAAGACCCTTTTTATTGACATACCTTCCACGGTTAGTAGGATATAAACATCATTTCCTTTTATAAAATCTCTGCTTTTCAGCCTCTCAAGGGTTATAAAGGCACTGGTTCCATAGCCCCGGCTTCTTCTAAACTGAGTTCCATTAGGGAAAAAGGCCACTTCTCCCACTTTGGAAGGCCGGTCCCAAAAATAGCTTCCATTATCTGAAAAGGCAATTTATATTAATGGATTGTGTTCAGCATCCTCGTAGCTTTTGGTGGAAGGGAAGAACAGGCTATGTGAAACACAATTAGGATGAAGCTCGAAATAATTAAATGATGCTATTGACCTGTGATGTATTCCCTGGCAAGTCACCGGAGCTTATTCATTTATACTGCCCTGAAGGAAATGAGATTGCCTGGCAGGGAGGGCCACATTCTGGAGTATGAGTGGAGAGGTACAGAAAGTTTCCTAGGTAGGGTAGGTATCATATCTATACTGACTGAGCAGTATAGAAACCCCATTGCCTATTACAATAATTCCTTAGTGACCTTCTGAGTTATAGACAGGCCTTTTAACTGAGTTACATCAATTTATTGTTGAGATAGTTTTTAATGTTAGCATAGAACAATTTATCTTGTTAACTGAATTATGCCCCTAACAGAGCAAAGTCCTTCAGGAGTAGAAGGCAGAGGGAAATACTGTTTCTGGAAAAAGGTGATGACCCATCCAACCCTGAGCCATTTTCAACGTCATTCGGGGAGGAATTTATCTTTTAAGTAAAGAAATTCTGAATATCAAGTCCCTACAATCTTTCATGAATATTGTTTTTTTCCTATCATGTTAGGTTTTTTTCCTATGTCACTTAAGTCCATTATTTTCATATATAGAATTCAGGTTTGGCAATAATATTCACCTTGCCATAATTCCATTTGTCCTTTTATTGGATTCCCAGATGGCAAAGGATTATTAAAATTAAAAATGTAATCATTGCACCCTGACTGGGGGACTCGGTTGGTTGGAGTATCACCCCATGCACCAAAAGGTTGCAGGTTCAATTCCCAGTCAGGGCACGTTCTTAGCCTGTGGTTCAATCCCCGGTCAGGGTACGTATGGGAGGCAACTAATCANTTCAATTCCCAGTCAGGGCACGTTCTTAGCCTGTGGTTCAATCCCAGGTCAGGGTACGTATGGGAGGCAACTGATCGCTGTCTCTCTCTCATATCTATGTTTCTCTCTCTTTCTCCCTCCCTCCCCCTCTCTCAAAAATCAATAAAAACATACTTTTGGTGAGAATAAACAAAAAAGAAATGTGATCATTGCTTTCTGGGTTCTGCTCCTTTTTGAGACTGGAAGATAGGGAATGTCAGCATTGACAAATCCTCCAGAACTCTTTAATAAAATGTTATAATCCACTCCCAACCCTTCCCAGCACTCCAGAGTGTGTGCTCATCTTCCTTCTGATCAAAAACCACGCCCCATTACAAGAGCTGACTTGGTTTTGACAACCCAGCGGCAATATCAGGGTAGCATGGGTTAGGAGAACTCAACAGCCAGGGGCCTCTCCATACCATGCCTTTCCACAAACTCCCAAGCTTGATCTCTAGTGACATTCATAACAAATCTATGTGGTTATTGTTACTGCCCCAGTTTTATTGCTGAGACACTAGAGCTCCAAGAGATTACTGACTCAAGATCTATTTGCTTAGTTAATGAGAAGCAAACCTTGGATTTTAATCCAGGCATGTCAGACTCCAAAACCAATATTCCTGGCACAATGGTGGGAATTCAGATATGGTCATCAATTCCGAGGAAGATAGTCAATATCATCTCTATCTGTCGGCATCCCTGCTGACATTCCTGACAATCTCCTGCCTGGGAGACTGTTCACAACTGCTGAAACTCGTCCCCTAAATACCTTCTGTTCCTAAGATCTGGGCTCAAAATTCCCCAGGTCCCTGGCGGTGCGGCCTCTCATTCCCAAATCATCCATCCCTCCACGAGCAATGACCGTGTATTAGCAATAAAGAAAATGAGTCACGAACCGGTGGTCATAAATGGGTCTGTAGTTACACTCCGCTGGTTGGACATACGCTGTCGAATGTCAGGATTTTGATCCAAGAGTGTCATCGTGGCTTGTTGCCAAGGACACGGCCACTGTAATTGATCGTCATTGGCTCCAGAGATCAAGTGGAAATATATTCCTGCATTAGTCAAATGGTTTAGATCCAAGTTAATCTGAAAGGCATAACCTTTGGAAGAATAAAATGGAGGGCTATACAGAGTTCCACTTGGGTTGCCAATGAACTGTGTGAAATTCCTTATACGCCAGATATGATGAGGGCACCGTGTTTCCGAAAGATTGATGTCGTCAATAGACAGGCCACCCAACGATGTACCAGCACCTCTAACCCCTCCAAACACCACTCTGAATTTGTTGGTTACTTTCAGTGTTACATGGTAAAGTTGCCAGCTCCCAATGGGTATATCTGCAAAACACACAGTATTATTTCAAAGAAGACAAAGGACAATGAGCCCTGTGCGAATCAACATTAGAGTTCTAACCTGCATGAGCAAACGTTCATCCTGCAGCTACTGATGCCTACAGTACGGCTTTCTCACTCCTCCAGCCCAAGTCCACTTACTTAAGGCACTTCTGTGGGGTTGAGCTCCCCTCTGGAATATATGGATGTTTATCTAGTTGTTTCTCAGATAGGTTACCCATTCCCAGGGACAGGTGAGCAAACAACAGCATCTAATTCACAAGCACTCCCTCCATGCCCTACTTAAGAGTTACCTTTCATTCTGTGTTGGTTTTGTGTTAAACTATCAAGCAAACCCAATATTCTACACTTGTGCTCATGATTCCTGCGATACTCAGCAAAAGCCTCACTTAATATATTTATACTCTGATTGGAACACTTCTTTTACATGCAAAATTTCCAATGAACCAAACCCTACAAAGCCCACATCCTACAATATACTCCTTAGATCATTACCAGTGACTCAACATTATCAATATTTATCTCATATTTAGTACCATCTCCTTTCTCCTCAAACTGCACTTCCCCCTCCACTGTTCCCCCCACCCCCAGCTAGCAGCATGACTGCGCCCTCCTGTCTCATTTGCCTATATCACATACCCAATGAAGAAGCAGTACATTTAAACTTTCTCAGAAGCCCCCAGGTAGATAACAGCTCAATTTATGTGAAACTCATAATTAATACAATGACTTAAAATTGAAATATATTGGCACTTAATGAGAAACACAATTGCTTGAAAATAACTTAGAAATTTCCAAATTGCAGAAAATGCTATTGTCCATGAACTCTAGATTGAACAAAAACCTTTCCTGGGAGCTCCCACTTCATTATTACAAGTACTATCGGTTTAAATTCTGGACTTTTAAGTGAGTTTCTTAAGTACTTTTTGTGCTATTGTGTATCGGTGATAACACCAGCTTGCTAATGGAAAGGAATATCTACATCTATATAACATATCTTACATATGTATTGTATACTGTATTACATATACTTACATATAAGGTATATGTATAGTATGTGGTATGTGTATGTGTAAAATGAGATTAAGAACCTCACTGTAAGTGTTCACAGGGAAACTATCATTGTTTTTCAGATTTTTTTCTCTTAGTTAAACAGTGGGGGGAGGGGAATGGCATGACATATAGCGTTATATAGATTGATTTTATAATAGGTTTTACTCAATTCATTCAGACCAGGAGCTCAAAACCTGGAGCAGACAGTGAATGTAGTTGCCAGCCCACAGCCCCTCCTCCTCAGGGAACCTTCCCAAGCCTCTGCTTCTATAGGAGATGGACATCACCACCTCTCTGACCTTGATTGCCCAATCACAGTGTTGTCCTCTCTCCACAGAGAAACTGCTCCAGAAGTTCCACTAACTCAAGTCATAAAAATCAGAATCCTTCACCGGGACTTATTTTTAAGCTACAAGTTAGAGGAAGAGTCCCCTTTCCAGTCTGATGGCACTTTTGGTAAGACATAGATGTAAGCTGGGAAGTGAAAACAGCCAAAGCACCAGTTTCATGGACAAAGCCCATCCGAGGTAGCAGGAGAGGCCCCAGGCCCTGTTCAGGGACAGGTCCAGCCTGCCTGAGGTCAGCTCCTCGCTTGTCCATTCCACAACTTAGTTACACTGAGCCAGTAACTCCCCCAATTTTGCCTAAGCTAGTTTCTACCATTGTATTTCTGTTACTTGCCAAGAGCTGACCTCCTCAGTACCAGAGACTGATCTACAGTGCCTTAAGTGAGTGTCACATATTAGAGCACACAGAGGACCTCATTTTAGCTCCCTTACTACAGCATAAAACAAGGAGGGTCAAGTTCTAAGTTGAAAAGTAATGAACCCATTGCCTCTCCCATGTCGTAGGTTGTTGCATCGAGTAGAGTTAAGATGCCTCACTCTGAACCCAAACAGTAAGAATGTCGATACTGTACCTTTTATTTCTTCCACCAGGGTTAAAGTACCATTCTCATTTCCTGCAGAATACTCCCTGACATAAATGTTCAGCTGGTCATTTTCATTCCCACTGTTGTATAAATAAAATTGCAAGCACTGAAATCCTCTTTTAGGGTACATCGTTCTACTTTCCAGCATTGCTGTGGCCCCCACATTCACAGCACTGCTGTTGAAATGCATGAAGAAGCCAGAACCTGTTACAAGGATAAGAGCAAAATTGAGAGGAAACAGATACTGGATATAGGAATGCGTGTCTTGTAGTCACTATAGCTCCACTTACTTCCCACGGTATGCAGGATACTGTGCTGGGCATTTAAACAGGGTTCTAGGAGCAGGAAGTTTATGAAAGAGACAACATCAGGTCACCTTTCTCTTACTATAGATGTCAGTTTTCAAAAATGGAAAAAAATTGTCACCTAACAAATCTAGGGTCTCCCTCTCTCTCTCTGCCTTCCCTCCCTCATTTTCTCCACCCCCCTCCTTTGGCCTATGTAGGACCACTATCCACCATCCAAATCTGCATATAAAAAGAAAAAAATTTTAATTGAAATATATTTGACATATACCATTGTGTAAATTTAAGGTGCACACCATGTTAATTTGATACATTTATATATTATAATACAATTGACATTGTAGAGATAACTAGCACCTCTATCGCATTTCATAATATAATTTCTTTTGAGTGGTTGGAATAATTAAGTTCTAGGCTTTTAGCAAGTTATAGCCCTGCCGGGTGTGGCTCAGTGGTGGAGCGTCAGCCTAGGATCCAGGAGATCGCAGTTCGATTCCCGGTCAGGGCACATGCCTGTTTTTCGGGCTCGATCCCCAGTAGGGGGTGTGCAGGAGGCAGCCAATCAATGACTCTCATCATTGATGTTTCTACCTCTCCCTCTTCCTTCCTCTCTCTGAAATCAATAAAGATATATATATATTTTTAAAGTTTTACGATTATAATACAATATTGTCCATATTGATTGTGTTGCACATTAGATCTCTAGGGCTTATTTACTACTCATTGCAAGTTTGTACCCTTAAAAAACATCTATCTACCCCCTCACCCCACTCCTGAAAAGGGAAAGTGCCTGTTCGCTTAGAGACCTCTCTCCCTGCCTGGACATCGGAGCTGACAAGCAATGGCTCTGGGTTCTGAAGTCTGGTTTAACATATTTGTTGCCAGAAATGAGCAAATAAATGAAAATTTGGGACTTGTAGCCAAAAAAAAAAAAGCCTATTTAATTCAAGATAAAATTATAATGGAAAAAGATACTTATCTGAATAAAATTAACAAATCATACTTTCTACCTTAGTTTTAAGTATTTTTGTAATAGGAGCACGTAATCATGACCAGCGGAAATTCTGAAGCTGATTAACCACAGCCTGGTGCTGCTCACTAGAAAGTCTCTTGTGTTCTTCAGACTTCGAGGAAACAACCCCACTACCCTGGAGAGAAGAGACCCTCAGGAGAGAGAGTCTTCTCCTGCTGCGGGGCCATAGACAAGGAGGGAGAGGCTTCACAGAGCCAAGCTCGGACTCAGAAAGCAAGCAAACTCAGAGAATAAAAGCGAGGAAATCAACCATATCCTTGTAGGGCACAGAACCGATTCCTTGGCAGCAACCTGATGGGTTATCATGAATAATTCTGATGGAAGTTAGAGATAAAACCCCAGTCTTTCATAGCAAAGGAAAACGCTAGAGCCACCGAATGTAAGTAAAATCTCACTCCGGCTACCTGTGCACCGGCCCACGTTGGAGTGATCGCTCTCTGGCCCTCCGGGGACCTGTGAAAGCCACTGCCAGTCAGCGTTATCGCCTGAACTTTGAATCATACCACACACATTTTCCAGTTCAAAATTGCAGGAGTCCATAAAGCTCAAGGAAGAAGCTACAAAAGTGAAAAAACAATTATTGACACTCATACAAACATGATAATCTAAGCAATAAAAACTGAGTTTATCACAAAAGTACTAGGAAGGCTGGGATGGCATTAAAGGGAGACACCTCGCTGATCCTGGGTGGTGCTGGCTTGAAAACCTCTTGATATCTGCAGAACCAAGACATTCTACAACTCTGTAGATCTGAATAAGCTGCCTGCCTAAGTCTTTTATTAAATTATCTAATTATAGAAACCTGAGTCTACACTCCTCTAGGTATTCAGATGATTAAGCCACCACCCAGATTATCGGATCCCATTTGTATTAGGACTGTACACCTTGTTTGGGCTGGGAAGAGTTTCGAGCATCACCTTTGACTCAGTGACAGTTTCAGAAGCCTGCGTGGGGCATGTTCCTTCAAGACCCGATTTATTTTTACATCTGAAAGCCAGGCAGTGTGAAGAGAAAAATACTGCTTCAAATTGTAGATTGAGATTTGGGTGCTTTTTAAAAAAATATATCAAGCTTTTATAATTTCAGAAAACTCAGCAATACTCAGCAAAGTGGCACAGAACACACTTTTCCCCCCTTTGTAGCAGAGGAGCAGAAGTCATTTCAAAGAACCTGTCACATACAGCAGTTATACAGCCGATTCAGCTTTAAGAGGTCATAGTCACTGAAATCCATCCGTTGGCCGATCACGTCCATGAAGTCTGGGATTCTTGTTACAATTGTGGGTTCTGTTCCATTTCTGAATGCAGTTTTACTGTAGTGCATGACTGAAGTGTAATCATAGGGAACATTCAGAGAGTCTGAGACTTGGTCATCATAGGTGTTAAAATTGTGCTCTTTGCCTAAGTGATAAATTTAAAAATTTATTAATTACTTGATGTTTATAAAATTCATTTCTATGCTGTTAATATAGAAATAGAGACTGTCATTAACATAGTTCTGCCTTTGCTGCAACTGATCTACCGTATTTTGAGAGAGGTTCATACATTCCTGTCTTAGAATATAATATTCAAGCTTAGAATTGTGATTCCAGTAGTAATGCTAAACATATCTAAGTTTTAATTACAGCCCAAAGTTAGACATTAGCATTGAGCCCAAGGTTCTAAGAACTGCGCATGGAAAGGAGGGCCCTAAAATGTGTTTAAACAGCCAGGGTCATTAGCAGGCAGTGAGGAGAGGGCAGGGGCATCCATAGCAAGTGCAGATGAAAGTGAGAGGACTTTGGGAAGTATGGTGGAACGGGATCTGGGAATTATAATGTAGAGTCATTAGAAAGGATTGAAATAGTCGGGGGTTTTATGGTTACTGGAATACCTGTAGCTGTTCTTTAAATGAATACATTTAGAGAAGACACCAAGCTGCTTAACATCATACCAATGGGCAACTGAATGCAACTTAAAATCAAAAGATTTTGTGGGCACAGTGAGGGAGATCTGATCTGCAAAGCACATCAAAGTGTTGTCAAATCTAGGCAGACATTTCTACCGAAAATAAGACTTTGGGAATCCTAGAGATTGAGGCTTTGGAGTAAAGCTAAACACGTCTCTTGCTCCAGAAATCTTTCAGTCTGCTGTCCATGCCTTACTCCGGTTGAGATTAAGACACTGGGGGAGAGGGGGCAAGAAGGAACAAGAGCTGTGATGTTAAGATTCTGATATCAGGGGCCTCAGTACAGAGCAGTCCTTCACCCACTTCAACTCATACTGAGCTAGAGTTAAATGAAGTAAGACATCAAAACATCAGCGTTTTCCTATTACGTACAGTTGGCACAGATGGCAGGAGAGGACACAATGCTTAGAAATTCAGTCTTTAACTAACTAAAAAAGATAAGAAAACAAGAGAGATATACCTGACTGGATTCTGTCCCAAATGATCTTGACATAGTCATCCCGATCAGAACGCGACTGCTCGTGCCAGAATCCCAATGCATGGAGGAACTCATGTTGAATCGTTGCTATTCTGTCACAGTTGTTCCCAATGGAGAGGTCTTGCTTCCCAGCACGCCTATTTCCCACTGAAGACCAGCAGCTTACAGGAGCGTTTACAGGAGAAAAGGGTAAGGGTGTTATAATGATGCAGGTTGAGGTCTCAGGGCAAGATCCCTAATTCCTAATCCACTTAGTTACTCACCTGGATCCCTCACAATGGAAGGATCTGAACATATTTCACTTCTCTCATAACCCAGGTGAGGTATGAAAAATTTTCCAGACCAGATGATCTTTGTAGAACTTGCCCTGACATAGGAGCAAGTCATCCCCAAGTCAACCTCGTCCTGATTTTTCCTGGAAACTTCCAGGTCTTCCAGATAGTCCTTGCTACGCTGATGACCATTCATAACGGTTTTATAGGTATAGCAACCACTCAGAATTGCTGAGCTCCAAGCAAATAACGCTGTCACCTTCTTAACTCAGGTAGTAAGAGTCATTAGGTTAAAATAAATTTAAATACACACATGCATACACACTCGTATTTTACTTGAAGGGGGACATAAGGAGTAGCTGAAGTTCACAAAGTTGTGAGATGGATGCCATGAAATCCCACTATCTAAAAAAATTGGAAGTCAGCTTGCATGTATGAAAATATTATTTTATGGCTAAAGAAACTAGACCCAGTCTTTTACTCTCCAACAAACAGGGAAGGAAGCCCCCACTCTCCTTCAAGGTCAGGGTCTAGAGCAATAATTCCCTGGCCACAACATTTCTCACTAGCACCTTTAGAAAACAAACTCTTCAACTTACCCACTGCCCTTGAACACTGATATATAGTTAGTTTCTCCAGTCCAAGGCTTGAAGTCAATGCATGTCTTTAGGCGATAGCGTTCAAATGCGTTGAGGATAATTCCCTTGGCATTCATTTCTGAAGGAAGAAAAGAAACAAAAATATTAAGCTAATTAATATAAACAAGAGTTAAGTCCCTGTGGCATCTCATCAACATTATAAAGAAATGACCTTGAATAAAACCACATTATTCGAGAACCTGCTTATCATATGCAAGTATTTGATTTTTCTTCAGATCCCTTATTTCACCCCATATTTCTTTCTATACCAATTCCAGCAAGTTGCTCTCCCAAGCTGAATTTCATCTTTGGCCATCTCACTCAAAACAATCTTCTTGGGTCATTCCATCAGATCCATTATCTATGGAGTACCTGTTACATGCAAGGCATTGTGAAAGATGCTCATTCATACCCATGGCTTCTACCTGTTCCTACATCCTAATAACTCCCAAATATTTCTCTGTCTTGAATGACCAGGTTATTCACCAACACTTTATATGATACCTCTACCACAGTGAGCCTGATGCATTCCAAATACTAATCCACCACACATCTCTATCCCAGCCACTTCAAGATATATTCCTTATTCTTATTAAAGGTACTACAGTTCATCAAGTTGTATAAATCCTGGGTACTAGCATCCCTTTACCTGGACCTACCTTCTTCTTGACCTCTTGACATCAATCACCAAATCTAACAATTGCCTCCTAAATCTCTTAGATTTATCTGTTCTTGCCTATCCTTACTAAGACAGTCTTGGTTCAAAAACTCTTTGGTCCTTCCCTAAATATCTTCAATAGTCTCCTACGTGATCTCCCTACTTTCTCATTGCCCCTTCAATAATACATTTCTATATTGCAACCGAAGTGATAACAACCTTCTTCCACATTAAAACTTTTGGTGGCTCCACATTAAATCAGTGAACACACTAAGTTTTTTAATATGGGAAAGACTTTCCTAATCTGGATCCTGTCCACCTGTTCAACTTCACTATCTCCTGACTTCCCATCTAAATTCCAACTAAGGATTTTTTTTTTCCCTGTGTCTTTGCACATCTGCCTAGGGCACCCTTCCCTAGAGGCACCCCATCTGGGAAAATGCTGTGTTTTCTTGGTGAATGAATGGCACTTCATGCAAAGAAATGAATGTCTCTTGATGAACAGAATTCAAACTCAGTTTCCATCCCACTTGTCCCCCTCCCCAGCACCTGTGTATGGTGTACAACTTGCACAGCCTTCATGCAGACCTGGTGCATAGTGCCACCTGTCCCCTAATGTTCACTCTTTTATATGTAGGTTGCTCCTATAGCTCCTTCAACATATGATTAATCATTATGTTTATTCCATTCTATTATGATTAGCTTTTGGTTTATCTGAATCTTCACTGAAACGTATGGTCTTTAAGGGAATGTTTTCCAAACAGCAGTTCCCAAGCTGATGCTGGTCAGTGATATTTTCACTAGTCCATAAATAAAATGAGGACCATGTTTAGAGTGGCCCATTACCATTAAATTTCTTCTATAGAAAAGCTGTCCTTAGTTTTGGATTAGATTCTTCTGACTTTTTACTACTAAAACACTATTTTATGAAAAGAGGGTGATAAAAGATAGTGGGTTCTTATTGTTTAAGCTCCTGACTTGGCAAAATGAAATGCTGTAAAGCAATACCAATGCCTAGATTTTTTATTTGTTTGTGTTGTTTTTTACTCATATATAAATCTGAACATATGGGAAACCACTGCTCTAAAATAAAGGCTAGCTCCCTAATCTTTATGTTCCTAGAATAGAATTATCAAGCAAAGAGTAGGCACTCCACAAATGTTGGTTAATTAATTCCTTTATTGGTCAAAGCTCAACAAATATTTCAGACAATGTCACTTAGCTTCTTTTTATTGTTCACTTTGCTTATTTTTTTTTAAGTAACTGTACATAGCTACACAAAGCAACAAATAAAAAACCATTAAAAACCATAATTGCCTACCCCGGGGGATACTGTAATCATAGTCTTTCAGGAACATACATTAGCTATGGATCCTCCAAGATGTATACTAACCCAAGCTGTCTTCTAGAACATATGGAATGGTATGAGGCCATCTATAGTTTTCTCCAATGATGGAATTTCTGTCTTGTACCTGTCAAAAATAAATATGAAAGGGGTAATTAAATGAATCAGGCAAAAACTTATGAAACAACCAATAGTTAATCTAGAAATAAATGAAGTTTTAAGCACTCTCAGCCAACTTAAACAAACTGTCTGTGTGTGCGTACATGTGCCTGTGTGTGTGCCTCTGCTTTTATCATATTAGAACATAGTTTCTAGGAGGAAATTCCTATCACGAATTTTGTTGATAGAGTTGAATAAGGAATCATGCAAAACCGTGTAAAGAATGGCTGTTATAAAACTGAACTTCAAATATTGGTAGACTCATAAACAGTGTCCTGTACAAGAGATTAAAAATATACAGGAAGGAAGAGATAGCAAAACCTCAATAATCTTGATCTCACCGGGTCAGAAAAAGTCATATGAGCTAGAGCAAAGTTTTTTAAAATTCTTAAATGATTTGAAGTTNGTCAGAAAAAGTCATATGAGCTAGAGCAAAGTTTTTTAAAATTCTTAAACGATTTGAAGTTTTTATAGTAAAGAACTGATTTTGACAATGTATTCATCCAATCAACAAAAATAAACACTTTCTAGAGAATAAGGATTTGCTGATAACAAAACTACCAAGGTCTTTACCTTCATTAGCTAACCCTAGTGAAAGAGACAAGTAGCATGTAAGAAAACAAATTAAGTTTAAATGGGCTACATTTAATTGTATGGAGGAAATTGAAATTAAAAAAAAAAAAAAAAAGGAACAGTAAAGGAATAGGGGAGTACATTGGATAAAGTGGCCAGGACAGGACTCTTTGAAAGGATGGCATTTAAGGTGAAACAAGAGTGATAATAAAGACTCAGAATTGAAAGGAACCTTGGAAAGATCATTTCAGGCAGAGGAAAGAGTAGTTGCTCTGGTTCTGACATGGAATGTGCTTGGTATGATTTGAGGCCAGTAGCCTAACCAGTAGGAGAGAAAAGAAATAGAAGTCCTGGCTGGTGTGGCTCAGTTGGTTTGGGCATCAGCCGGTGCACCAAAAGGTCAATTCCATTCCCTGTCGTGGCACATGCCCGGGTTGCAGGCCCGATCCCCAGGAGGGAGCATGCAGGAAGCAGCCAATTGATATTTCTCACATCGGATGTTTCTCTCTCTCTCTCCCTCTCCCTTCCTCTCTCTCTAAAATCGATAAAAACACAATAAATTTAAAAAGAAATGAGATAAGAAAAGAGGGCAGGGAGGGCTGGGAAGAAGAGAAGAAATGAGAGGAGAAATAGGCAGGAGTTAAATTATGCAAGGTCTTAAAGGCTATGGGTAAATTCTGACATTGTTCTAAATGCAATCGAAAGCTACTGAAGAGTTTCAAGCCAGGAAGTGAAATGGCGCCATTGTCTATTTGAAAGATCACTTTGCTGTAACACAGACAGGATTTTCCCTTTGAGAAGGGTAATATTGAAATAAAAAGACAAGTTAGGAGAAAAGTAGATTCTCTGAGGTATAGGTTGGAGATAGAAATGACAGGACTTGCTCATGGGTTGGATGGTGGAGCGAGAGAAAGAAAAGAAACCAAGGTGACACCTGGATTTTTCATTTATTCAGTGGCACGGGGTGAAGGTGTGGTGAGGACTTCACTAAGAAGGATGATTCTATGCAAGGTTTGGGAGGACTTCTCCTTGGCAACACTATTTTTAGCTGTCAGTGAAGATGTCTATAAATTCAGTTGAACTTTACTCAACTAGAATGAATCAGTGAGATTCTACTTAAAAATGAAAACATCTTATTATTCCAATAGTGAAAAGAAAAAAGAGCAATAAGACCAAGGCCCCCATAGCAAGTGATGGTGGCTTTAATCACACAGAAATCTGAGTAATAAATCATGAAAACACTATTATGTGCGTTCCTTACAGTACAATGTATTCATTGAATAAATGTGTCACCATGACTCTGTGAGCTTAGAGATAAGTGGGCTTAGCTAAGCCCATGCTTTCCAATCATTCTCAGATAGTCTGTATTTTAGCTTCCAGTGATTAATAGAAGATTCTCCCTTGAATTGTTTCAACTCACCTCATTAAGTTTGATGTCTCCCTCAAAAAGATCCAGTCCCAAATCTAAGAGGAAAGATAAAAATTCATGTTAGCAAGTTTTTTCAAACTCCCCACTTAATAAAGGATGTAAAAAAAAATCTACAAACCTTCATTGATATCAAATATATCCTGGTCGATTCCACCATCTACATCTTTAGAATAACAAAGAAAAACACATTGAGCATTATGTTTATGAAAGAAAATCTTTATCAATTATTGAATTAGAAGTGAGTAAGATTCTTTTTGGTTCTGAATTAATACATATACATTGATTGATTGTTTGGTTCATTGGTTGATTGATTGATTGATTGATTGAGAACCTCTCATGAGCCAGGCTTGAAGCTATAGAGCTTCTGCATACATGTTCTTGTCCTATTCATGGCCTTTGAATGCCAAATGACATCAGGAATAAGAAATTCATTACTCCATATAATATTAAGCTTAATTTGGAAGACTAAGCTAGAAGAATAGATTAAATAGAAAGCAAATGTTTAAATTTGGTCAAATCAGTCCAATCTACCCATATACGTATATCCTTTGCAATAGCATACCTTTGAAGTCTCAAACAAAATTCCTAATTTAAATTTAAATCTCTCTTTTAAATTGCAAAGGGGTGAATAATATGGCCAGATTTCTCAGTGTGCAACTAAGTAGGCTGTTCATCTGATTTGACACAAAATAACAAAAATAATAATAGCAAGCATTTATGGATGTCCCTGAGTCAATCACTGTGTTTGGCCTTTCCTATTCCACCATCTGTTTTTCTGCTGGGTATGGAGAACCCTGGAACAGGAACAATAAAATGTTCCTCAATAAATCAAGAGAAGCCAGTGTTTGATCAAAGTTCAATGCAATTATGCATGTACTTAGCATTAAATGTGTCCTAAGTTCTTCTCTTCTGCTGTTCTATTATATACATAACTTCTTTTTAATATGACTTAGAGAAAATCTGAAAATACACTCACCAAAATTTTCTGGAGTTGGCTGGGAAACAAATACATAAAAGGAAATATTATTATGATGCCTGTATATAAATGGTCTTCTTGGTTCCAATATATATACAGCCATTTGTGGGGGAGTTTCCCTTAATATTATGAATTACTTTCTGACATATATTTAAGACAATTAAATTGGAGTCTAAGTTAACTTTCTGACCAAAGAGTCTTCTTAATTCATATAAAAAAATAAAACTTCCTGTTACATGAATTTGAAAGTGAAAGCAACAAGAAACCAAATTCACAGATTGAGGAGAAGGCAGGACAGGATGTAGGACTCCAGCCCTAAAGTGTGTGCAATTTTATCATAAAAATTTTCCAAAGGATTCATGGAGCAGTGTTTGAAAAGCCTAAAAATTTATTCCTAACGTTAAATATTAGCTTAATTTATAACAATCCTTTAAAAAGAAATTTTATTGAAGACCTCATTAATCATGATTTACTTTCATATCTCACTCAAGACTCTGCCTTCAAAGACAATACCAAATGTTTAGAAAAACATAGATGGGTGTAGATAGTATTATTATTTAAAAACTTCTGAAGATCGAAGTCACCACATGAAACCCAGACTACATCAATGGAAAAATTAAGTAAACCCAAGAAATTTCTTAGTGTAGCCTAGTAAAAAAGTTTATGGGACTGATAGACAGTAGACCTGGGTTATATTTCTGATTCCACCAACTAACAGAAAGTCAGTTCACCTTCTTGATATTCAGACTATCTGTAAGATATGGTCAACATCTGCTTTGCGTGGTATTGTGAGGGTTATATGGTGTCACGTGAAAACACAAATGTAAGATACAATTTTATGTAAATACAGTTTACGTATCTGAATTCTAGAATCATTTGGCAAACAGTGGAAATGAGCTAGTTGGATGGTTACCATCCCTTTTGATAGTAACAAGTGCTACGGTTTTCTCATGCTCAGAGGAATGCCAGAGCATTTCTACTAAAAGAACTTATCAAGTATTTTTTTTCATGATTACAGTTTTAATGTTATTAAATGGTTTATCTTGTTCTCAATGCTATAGTTCCCGTTACTTTAAAATCACAGCTAGAGGTTTCCTCCCAAGCATTTGGAACTTCATTTATAACCTTGGCTTGGTTTGTGGTACAAACTACCTGTCACTTAGAAGGACTGGTCTCAATTCATGAAGAAGCAGCAGAGAAATCCCATGCTACAAAACTTCCTAAGTATTTACTGTGCCTGTGACAATCACCATTCACACCTCATGTTACTGTAAAAGCAATATGATGTCATTCAGCAATAAAAATGGAATGATTTTCAAATTTCACATTTTCCATCTTATCAAAGGAAAAGTTGTTACACAACAATGAAACTGAAAGAAAAGCATAACTTTATGTCAATGTCTCTGGCTCCTTCTGGCAGGGCTCCTCTCACTCCCTGTACCCTGGCCGCACCTGCTCACCAAAAGGAAGTGCTCATTTCAATAGCACTGCAAAAATTCATTTAAAAAAAAAAGGGTGAACAATTTTTTCTTTAACAATTGGTATCAACTGCTCCAGATTTTTCTAATTGTTTTCCATATATTGTTTTCTTACCAAGCCAGGAACCGAGAGGAAAGAGGCAAAGAGCAGAAGCCAAGGCAGAATCCATGAATCCATGCTGTCGCTCCAGCTGAACATTGCAAACTATGAGATTCAGAATAGCATTTACTTTTCAAAGGCAAACATCATAACTTTTAGCCTTTGATCTCAGCATTCCATCTTGCAGGTCAGCTCGCTGCAGTAGTAATACCTCCAATCAAGGAGTTAAAGTCCAGTATCCTTAACACAGCTCTGTGCAGTTGGTTGCGTGGTTGGTTGGTTGGCTGGCTTGTGTGTGTGTATGCATGTTAACATTCAATAGTCAAGTGCCTGGCTGAGACCTGTTAATAAAATAAGTTCTCTAATATATACATACTGGTCCCCAAGACTAATAAATGCCTATTGAGTGAAAAAAAAAAATGTCAAATTATTTTTAATCTCCGTCTTTCAAATAGTAAACATTTGTGATGCTCCTCCTCTCATTTAGTCCTGTGTTGCTTTAATACATCTAGTTATGTCTATAGCTTTTTATTGTTCATTCATTTAATAAAAATGTATTGAGTTACAAAGTCTATTAATGTGCTAGAAATCTGGCATATTTCCTATCCAGATGCACAGTAGCAAAATAGCAACATATTTCACTCTTGAAAATTCCCATCAAGCAAACTCAGGTGGGACTTAGGGTAAAAAAGCTAGGAGTGGTGACTGGTTTTCTAATAAACTAACATTCATTCTCTCAATCTTGCCTCACTTTTTTCTTCTTTTCTTGGGATTACTTCCCTTTAGGGACAACCTACTCTCTAACTCAGTTACCACTGTTTCACTCTCAACTTACTTGTGGGACAGGTTAATTTTTTTAAAAATACTCTCCCCCCCCCCCACACACACACAGTATTTCCTTTCCTACTTAAGACAGGCCTTTGCCCAATTCCGTGTTAATAGAAAGGATATAAAAAGACATGTAGTATAGACAAAGGACATGAAAGTATGCTTTGTGAATACAAACGAGTCGCTCCCACCCTCTGAGAGTTAAAAGGGAGGGTTAAAAGTGATGTGTGGATCAATTTCTTTATTCGCTCCCTGGGATCCCCAAGATAGTTTATGGGATCCAAAACCCAACAGGCCTATTTCCCAGCTAGAGCTACAAGGAAACAACAATACAGAAGAAAGCAGATCTTGGTAGGAGGACGATAACTCCCATGAGGCCAAGAGTGGACCAGAAGCATCGGGGAAAGCCACCAGGCCTAAATGACTGTGTGGTGAGCAATACGAAAGCCTCCACAGCAGGCTGCACAGAATGACCACCAGGGACCAGATGGAGACATGGATGTTTCTGGGGAGTCTCATGAGGATAGACAGACGGAAGTCAGATGAGACCCTCCCAGTGCCTTGGGCTATTAAGCTCAGGAAGGAGTCTAAGGGTAAAAGATGGGAATCCTGAATTGGCTGCAACTACATTTCTCCCACCGTTGTGGTTGGGGACCCAAAACAATAATTAAGGTTACAGAGAAATAAAAGTATTTATTATGCACATCTGTTTTTGTGAGCTGAGATGTACAACGGAGACACCTGGCTGCATTCTATGTGTTGGGACAGGCCGTTCACGTTCGAAGTTAGGAAATTGGAAGCAATGGTTCCTAGGACTGTAGGAATCTGTTCTGAATCCTGATTACAGCATATGGGCTAAAACCTCACTAGGAATCTCGCTGGAAGTCATTGAGGCATGGCTGAAATCCAGCTCCAAAACCATGTCTTGACTACAATTAACGGGTATCTTTTACATTTCCTACTTTCTGGGGCAATACAGTCATATCTCTCAATGAAGCTCTTTAATGCAGAAGCTATGCTTGGCTGGTCTAACATACCCCCAGCTCCCCTCACTTACGTCCTGCCCCTAGGAAACCTTTTCAAGCCTCATGCTGACATGTGGAGTCTGATCCCAGGGAAATGTCTCTGCCTGCAGTTGCAGGTCCTCCTCTGGTCTTCATTTCTCCCAGGTAATAGCGGGAACAGGAAACCCAGTGCTTGAGATTCTAGGATTTACGGGTTGCTCTGAGAGCCCCTGAAACCATCAGGAAAGCATATTTCTTTTAAGAATGTGATTCTCAAAATCCCCATGGGGTATGAGTACATTCTAGACCTGAGGATAGCAAATCATGAGTGTAAAAAGCTTTCTAACAGTAAATAGTATAGACATTGCAACAAAAGATCCAAAAGACTACTTCATCTGATTCTCCTTCCTCCACCCAAAAAAGTTTCTGTTAGTTACTTCATGAGTTTCCCAGTACTAGCTTTTTATGAAATTTTACAAACACTTATATTGGGGAGGTACATATATTTGAATTTAAATGAAATTAAATGGATCTAAAAAAAAAAAGAAAAAAAATGGGATGTGGGGGACTAAAGAAGTCCCTGGGTAGCTATAAGAACACAAACTCAGTAAGGGCCCAGGCAATTAAAGGGCAGAAAAGCTTATAAAACATCTGCATCCCCTGGGATTGAGCACACTAATCACTTTCTTTTTCTCTTTTTTTTAATTTTATTTTTTTTAATTTAATTTTTGTTTATTGTTGA